AGAATGTGGGATATGATTTTGAACGTTCTTTTAGGGACATCCATCGGATATCCCGAGTAGTACATATTCTGGCATTATATAATGTCCCTTCTAGACAATCATGAAATGTCCCTGATGGTACATTTCTTCAAATATCTTTGCACAGACGCCCTAAATATTTCCAGGATCGTATAACAATCGAAATGTCCCTAAGGGACATCCTTTGAATGTCCCTTAGGGATATCCGTCGGATGTCCTAATTGGTACATGAGCTGTACTCTTCCAATGTCCTAGAAATAACGTCCTATGGACGTCCCAGTCGGTACTTTCAATATGTTGTCTCTGCGAGGACGTTAACTTACACCTCGCCGACGAATGATTGCTCGTAGGCTATAAGTACTACTCGTCAATGTCCTTCACGTAATTCCATTGGACATTCTTGGGACACTTTTTGGGGACCTTCTACGGACCATGAACTCGACTGGATGTCCTAATCAGTTATGCAAGATCTGGTCCTAAAGGGACCCAAAAAAATTTAAATTCAAGAATAATTCGTACGTCCCTGGGACATTCTATGGACATCCAATTGATATCCCTCAGCGTTGCTGATAGGTTGTCCTATGGATGTCCTAAGGATGTCCTCTGTAGTGCTTGATGAGGAATACTGTAGAATTTAGGTATTCGATAGTTGTCCCAGGGACATCCCTCAGAGACGTCCCTAGTTGGTCCTCAAGTGGGACATTTGTGCGTCCAACAGACGTCCAAAGGACGTCCACAGTACCAAATTCGCACGTCCTATGGACGTCCTGAATGTCCCGACAGGACGTCCTAAGGATATCCATGGGAGAAAAGTGTGTTATTAGGGATGTAATACAATACAGGGTGTCCCATTTGAAAATCGAAAGTTGGAGTCGTTTCCAGTAAAACCGGAAGTGATAGATGTGCAATGCGGTATACTAGCTGTCCACCAATTTTCAAAACCCTATCTCGAATAATTCGAAAGTTACAGTCTTGGTCGTTTTTTGTGCACTTCTCTGTATATTATGCAACGTATGAAATAGTGGTGGAAACAGACAATCCTTTCTACGGCCACAAATATCGAGAAAACCCAAGAAAAACACAGGAAATAGTCCATACAAAGTCGAGTAAACGTTCAATCCTTGAGTCTGCGAGGAATACATACAGGGTCTTTGAAGAAAAAGAAACATTACTTATCTCGCAATTGAAGCTCAATTGGTATACAGTGTCCGTCTAAAGTCCGCTCTCTTCCTACTAATTTTTGAACCATCAGGTATATCGCGACTAAATTTGTAAGGCTCAAAAAGGAATGAAAACCTACTCTTTTGTGGAAAAATAATAGCTGAGAGTTTTGAACTGGCGCCCGAGGGCCATCTTGAATTAATTTTTTGAATGAATCGCCCCGTATATTGTTACATTTTCATTCTTTGAATCTTTTTATAATGTTCAACAGTTTTATCAAATACGCTTCACTCTTAAATTCAATAGTTTGAGAACTGACATTTTAGTTATATTTCAAACCCAACCAAAAACCTGAATGTCCAATCAAGTTGCCTTTGGGAAAATGTCGTTGTTGTGGTAACATTCCGATTCTTTCCAAAGCAAACTTAATCGAAAGCAACATTCGAGTTTTTATAGTTGCGAGTTTGAAATGAACAAAATGTCAGTTTTCAAAGGATAATATTTTGAAAAGTATCGAATTTAGTAGTAAAATGTAATCGATGTAACTGTTAAAAATTATGGGAAGAAGAAGAAGATGAAAAGTTGGGTTTCATCTCCTATTTTAGACCTCCAAATTTCGTTCCGATATACCAGGTGGTTTAAAAAAATAGCAAGGGGACTTGAGTTTAAACAGGCACTGTATATCTAAATATCTCAGTTATCCCAATTGCAAGATATACAGGGTGTCCCACTTACCATGCTCACCATGGGTATCTTTTAAACGGTGAGAGATACGAGGTCGGTTAAATGACACCAAATGTGGAGTTTGTCAAGGCCAACTATAATGTGAAAAAATATTTTGATAAAATCTATTCGTTTTTGTTTTATACGCAAAAAACAGATTTTGATCATTTCCATGTCTCTTCCATAACTTCTTTATTTATGAATATATTCGAATAGGAATTTCACATTCTCATGACAGTATTTCAAAGTGATTTCGAAAGAAATATTAAATTTATACCAACTCTTCTAGAATTGGAGATATCAGCACCAACTTTAGTTTTTCGAATGTAGGTCATAGCTCACTATGACTTAGTTACAAAAAACTTTTTTTTCTCTTTCAGATGATATGTCGCAGTAATAGTTTTGTGTTGATAACAACGGAGTTATCGTCATTTATACTAAAACAAAAAATTATTTGGAAGCCGCCATCTTGAATTTATAAATTTTAACAAAAAAATCATGATCTTCGACCTCAAAAACCCCCACTTACCAATTTTGAATGGAATCGGACCAAATCTTGTCCGCCATCTTGGAGCAGCCATTTTTTTTTAATTTCAACAAAAATCCATAACTCCGATCAACCTGAAATTTGGCAGATGTTCATAATTTCGGTGACAATACATTATGGAATATTTATTGAAATTAAAAAAAATGGCTGCTCCAAGATGGCGGACAAAATTTGGTCCGATTCCATTCAAAATTGGTAAGTGGGGGCTTTTGAGGTCGAAGATCATGATTTTTTTGTTAAAATTTATAAATTCAAGATGGCGGCTTCCAAATAATTGTTTGTTTTGGTATAAATGTCAATAACTCCGTTGTTATCAACACAAAACTATTACTGCGACATATCATCTGAAAGAGAAAAAAAAATTTTTAGTAACTAAGTCATAGTGAGCTATGACCTACATTTCAGAAACTAAAGTTGGTGCTGATATCTTAAATTCTAGAAGAGTTGGTATAAATTCTATATTTTTTTCGAAATCAATTTGGAAAACTGCCATAAGAATGTGAAATTCCTATTTGAATATTTTCCTGAATAAAGAAGTTACGGAGGAGACATGAAAAAGATCAAAATCTGTTTTTTGCGTATAAAACAAAAACGAATAGATTTTATCAAAATATTTTTTCACATTATAGTTGGCCTTGACAAACTCCACATTTGGTGTCATTTAACCGACCTCGTATCTCTCACCGTTAAAGAGATACCCATGGTGAGCATGGTAAGTAAGACACACTGTATATTGGCAATTATTAGGCTACAACTGCGAAATGAATGTTACTGTAACTGTAAAATTGATATTTCAGTGAGATAAAATGCAATATGAAACTGATACCTGAATATTTCAATCAGTGTAAAACCAGGATAAATGTTGCAATATTGAAATAAAGCACTTTGCGATATTCATATCAGGTTTTTCATTTCCGTTGGACTTCAACTGGACTTTGTATACACTGAACTCCAGCAAGCATTTTCCCTGGATGCTTCTCGATAATTGCGCACCTCAAAATTTCCAAGAACCCTTCCAGGTCCTGCAAAGGACACAATGAGATCTTCCTACAATATAAAAGAAACTTCGTTGTCGCTCGATTATCTCAGAGTCGCAGCTACTCATCCAACAACTGCAAGTATACAGGGTGTTTCACAGGTAAAGGGAAATATTTCAATGGTAGATAGGGGTCATCAAGGTGGTTCTGAAAATACCATATTCGATAGGTCTTAGAGTTTTCATAACGGAGATACAGGGCGATTTATCGATTTTGAATAATTATTCATTCGTCTAAAAGTATTGAACTACCCAGTATATTTTTCTAAAATTTGGTATGGAGCTTAAACTTGGGACGTTGAATTCATTCACCTATCGGGCGAAGAGAAAATCCAGGTTCGACTTCAGGAAAAATCCACATTTATTCGAAATATTAAAATAACACACTGTATGTAATAATTGACAGAGTTCATCAAAGGAATCGTGAAGAGGAGGAAAAACTGAACTGGATTAGATGCTTTTTGTTTTCCCGCCACCAATTCTCAACGTAACAATCATAAACAGAAAGCTGAATGTATGTCAATTTGAAGAGTATTAAAATTATGAAACCAGTGTCAATTATGATTATTCGATATATTTTAGTCAAAAAGTCGCTCGAAAGAACTTACTAAGTCTCACAGTTTTTATAACGGAGATACAGGGTGAATTATCGGTTTTGAATAATTATTCAATCGTTCATAAGTATAAAACTACCCAGTAACATTTTCTCAAATATGGTATGTAGCTTACTTGGGACGATGGATTCATCAACCTATCAGGCGGAATTATAATTCGATAATTCACCCTGTATCTCTGTTATAAAGACTATGAGACTTTTCCTGAAGCTGAACCTGTATTTCCATTCTGCCTGATAGGTCAATGAATCCATCGTCCCAAGTAAGCTCAATACCAAATTTGAGAAAATATTACTACGATGGGTAGTTTAATACTTATGGACGAGTGATAATTCACCCTGTATCTCTGTTATAAAGACTGTGAGACTACGTAAGTTCTTTCGAACGATCATTTAACAAGAATATATCAAATAATCATAATTGCAAGTAGTTTCATAATTTTAATACTCTTGAAATTGACATACTTTTAGCTTCCTGTTTATGATTATTACGATGAGAATTGGTGGCGGGAAAACAAAAAGCATCAAATCCAGTTCAGTTTTTCCTCCTCTTCACGATTCCTTTGATGAACTTTGTCAATTATTACATACAGTGTGTTATTTTAATATTTCGATTAAATGTAAATTTTTCCTGAAGCCGACCCTGGATTTTCACTTCGCCCGATAGGTGAATGAATTCAACGTCCCAAGTTTAAGCTCCATACCAAATTTTAGAAAATATACTGGGTAGTTCAATACTTATAGACGAATGAATAATTATTCGAAATCGATAAATCGCCCTGTATCTCCGTTATGAAAACTCTAAGACCTATCAAATATGGTATTTTCAGAATCACCTTGGTGACCCCTATCTACCATTGAAATATTTCCCTTTACCTGTGAAACACCCTGTATATACAATCTGAAGACTTCCGTCTAAATAAATAATTTGTGTTTTGTTGTACTTTCGAGACGGCCAAGCGTTTGGACCAAAACCTAGCCAGAGGAGGAGGAGGAGGAGGTATTTCTTCGCTAATTCTTCGCCTAGCATCCTCAAGCTGCCCCTGTACAATCGATTTCCACGATATCCTTGGGCACCTCGACGAACTGGTAGACCAGCCGCTGGCCATCGACTTTGGCCAGAATGCCTCTCTGGTAATAGTACCTCAATGCCCTGCCCATCGTCTCGTAGTTCATGTCGGGCTTGTTCTTGTGCATGCCCCACAGTCTGGATACCGCTTTGGAGTCGACCAACTTGAAGACACCCTTCTCCCTGGAAGAAAAAAAGGACCGTTGAGACTCAGTTTTTCACGATCCGAGCTAATCTGTCTTTTAATTATCAGATCCAATAGGCACACGTACGTTTTTCCAACATTTCATCCACGTAAAGCAGGTGGAATGAAAGATCAAAGTTGAGTTGCAGTTGAAACTTATTGATTCATTCATTCATTCATTCGATCATTCGATCATTCGATCATTCGATCATTCGATCATTCGATCATTCGATCATTCGATCATTCGATCATTCGATCATTCGATCATTCGATCATTCGATCATTCGATCATTCGATCATTCGATCATTCGATCATTCGATCATTCGATCATTCGATCATTCGATCATTCGATCATTCGATCATTCGATCATTCGATCATTCGATCATTCGATCATTCGATCATTCGATCATTCGATCATTCGATCATTCGATCATTCGATCATTCGATCATTCGATCATTCGATCATTCGATCATTCGATCATTCGATCATTCGATCATTCGATCATTCGATCATTCGATCATTCGATCATTCATTCATTCATTCATTCATTCATTCATTCATTCATTCATTCATTCATTCATTCATTCATTCATTCATTCATTCATTCATACATTCATTCATTCATTCATTCATTCATTCATTCATTCATTCATTCATTCATTCATTCATTCATTCATTCATTCATTCATTCATTCATTCATTCATTCATTCATTCATTCATTCATTCATTCATTCATTCATTCATTCATTCATTCATTCATTCATTCATTCATTCATTCATTCATTCATTCATTCATTCATTCATTCATTCATTCATTCATTCATTCATTCATTCATTCATTCATTCATTCATTCATTCATTCATTCATTCATTCATTCATTCATTCAGTCATTCATTCATTCATTCATTCATTCATGCATTTATTCATTCATTCATTCATTCATTCATTCATTCATTCATTCATTCATTCATTCATGCATTCATGCATTCATTCATTCATTCATTCATTCATTCATTCATTCATTCATTCATTCATTCATTCATTCATTCATTCATTCATTCATGCATTCATTCATTCATTCATTCATTCATTCATTCATTCATTCATTTATTTATTTATTTATTTATTTATTCATTTATTTATTTGATTATTAAGCTATAAGCCAACTTTCAACTTCTCTTTTGAAAGTTATGATATTTAGACGTTTGAATTTTAATGATATTTTATTATGAATTTTAGATCCAATAAAACTAGGATGTTGTTCTAAGATTCAATGTTTATATTATTCAAGTCGTACATTGTTGATTCTGTTTCTTGAATCATAATTGATTGATTTTATCTGTTATTGCCGGATTCTTTTCAAGTCGTCGTTATCTGAATTATGGCTTTCCTATAAAAATTAGGACCACATAGTTTGATGCTGCCAGATTTGTAACTTGTTATTGCTTCATGAGATTCAATGACAACAGTATTCACATTCACAGAAAACAATATTTTGACCTGGTCCCTAATAATTACTAACTACAAGATGCGAATATTCAAAGATATTCCTCTTGTTATCTGATTCTTCAGTTGTGTGCTGTGTTCTCTGTTATCTGCAGTAAGTATTCAGTCCAGAAAATTGACAAGAGTCTAAGGCGAGAACCTTCTGAGGAGGCGAAATCTTTTCATATAGGCTAGTCGAATGTTTTGGGATAATTATTTTACCATTCCTTGTCCTTGTTTGGTAACGGTGATTGTCACAATTCCTGGTTATAAACTTTATATTTCGTTGAATATAGCATACACAGCTATGAATATATATACACAGAACAGTCAATAATGAATGTTTCTTAAAGTATGGTTTACATGAGTCTGTTTTTTTCAAGTTAAATATAAGTCTAATGGCCCTCTTCTGCGCTACGAATACTCTTTTTATTTCAGACTGATGATGGACATACGTATGTCCGAAAAAATGTTCCCTTGATGTGATTATGAAGCATCTCCAGCATCCCTGTGCCCTTTTACTAAACGTACCTGTTCGTCCACTTGATGTACCGCGGACAGTACTCCCTGTCCTGCAACAGCTTCAACAGGAACTCCCACAAATAAGTGGTCGAGCCCTCGCGGCTCTTCCGCTTCACCGCGCCCCCCTCCCCAGGTTTCTGCTTCTTCGGCGCCTTCTTCAGCTTCCGCGGCGCGAAACCGGCCAGATAGGGGTCGTCGTACAGCATGCTACTCGCCGCCGCTTGGATGACCGAAGTCGGAATGGCGGACTGACGAGGGGAGGGGGGAGAGGGGGTGGTGAAGGGGGAGTGGGGGTTTTGGTGGTGGGGGGGAAGATGCTGCTGTTGGTGGTGATGGTGCGGGTGTTGTTGCTGCTGCTGGTGGTGATGCTGCTGCTGCTGCTGCTGCGCTTGGTGGTGGTGCTGCAACAGGTAGGTGTTGTACGGGTCCAGATCTGGAAGAGATAGAGAGAGAAACTGGTTATTGATGAATATTACTGAGCTCCGGTGGTGATCCTTCGATTAGTTTGGGTTAGTATACAGGGTGTAATTTAATTAATTTGTAAAAATTTTGTAAAATTTGTATATCGCTACTTCAAAGTTGGGAACCAACTCCCCAGAAGTCGAAACTTGTGCGGGGTTAGGAAGAGCGGGACCTACAGCTTATAGTGGAATCCGAACCAATTCTAGGGCATCGAGGTGCTGCCAGAATTACAACCATGAATCACACATTTTAAAGAAAAATGCTCAACCGACAGTACCTCTGCATCGTGAACGGCTATCTAGCGAATTTCAGCGCATAGACAAACTCGGCCACGGAGCTGAAAATATAGGATATGGTTTCTTAGCTCATTTATAGAAGAAAAGTTCATATTTTTTCATGTTCTGGTTCCCACGAAAAGAAATATCCTGTAATGTTCAGAGAACATCGTGAGAACCTAGGGAAATAAAGTAGGAATAGATGTTCATCTTAAATTTCTGAAGGTTATATGCCTCGGGGAACACCTTCCTTGGCAATGTGTTCCAGAGCCTCGCTGTTCGTTGGATGAACGAGTCTTTGTAAAGAGATGTACTGCAGGTCTCCAAAGTGACCACGAAGGGGTGAGAAGCCTCAAATCGACGGGTTAATCTCGCGGGGACTGCCAAGGGAAGAACAATTGTTGATATTTCAGAAGAGCATCGTCCATGAAAATATCTATAAAATAGAGCCAGATCGCCAACTTTTCTACGGTGTTCCAGAGAAGTGAGTGAGTTTGTGAGCGAGGCATCACCCACGAGACGAATTGCCCTTTTTTGGACAGAATCCAACATAATATGCCCTGAACCTCCCAACTGTCGAGCTATAGGGTGTTGAAATTTTGAGACAAAAATCGTTTTCTCATCATAACTTCAATACCATGTGGTAGTTTTTATGTAAGATGAGTTTTTTTCAAAGTTTTATTCAAGTAAAGTCAAATTAGTGAATTCGCTAAAATGGTTTTGATTTTTTTCAATTCAAGGAGTCCAATTGTTGCAAAATAAATGAGGATCTTCATTGTACATCCCATACTGAGGCCATAGATTAACGACTCTGAGGCCGATGGTAGAAATATTGAGAAATCTCCTGTATAAAAAAATGCCCATTGATGCTTAGTAGGTACCTGTCGAATTTCATAAAAATATCTAGAACAGTATTGACGTAATGATTAGAAAACGATTTCTTTTTCAATTACGTCCTCTGCTAGTGAGAGCCAAGAAGAAGAAACGGAAAGTATATGAAGGGTCTGTACTTTTTTTCATAAAAATCCAAAAAATCCATACTTTCTAAAAACAATTGTATCTGTATCAAAAAGATGATATTGTCGTGAGGCAAGACCCATTGTGTTAATTTTATGAACCTTTATGAAGTTTCATCACTCACTTTCATTACGGAGCGTTAAGGAGTTAAGGATGAAAAAGTAATTTTTGTTCTTCCATGTATTATGATAACCATCAAGCCATCAGCTAAAACTACGATTTGGTTGAAATTTCACCAAAATCGAACAAGAATTAAAACAGTTTCAGGACGATTAAATTGGCAAAATTTCTTATATTTTTCATTGAAATATGCCATTAGAATATTATGAAAATTAGTTGTTTCTCATAATATGTGTTAGAAACGCTAAGTTGCTATTACTCAGACATCAGGTACGCATGATGTTCTTCTAACATGATAGGGATATTTTTTCGTACGCTCCAAGAGATAAGGTAAAAATGGTATCATAACAATAAATTCGCATGTAATACGTGATAGTTATCAAAGATAAGATGTGTGGAAAGATTAAGATTATCTTCCAACATTAAAATAAATATTAATTTAATCATTTTTTGTCTGTCCATACTTCCTCTGTAGATGTAAATTCCGTCAATTGACAGAACTGAAAACATGACAAAAGCGGAAGGGCTGGTGCCCTTTATTTGTACGGGAAAAAGTAGGTCATGTGAAGGCGGCTTATAGGTGCGTATAAAGCCCTATTGTACGAGGGTCGGGGTTAGTCGGGGTAGGTATACAGGTAGAAGTAGAATCAACAGGCGAGAACTGAAGAAGGGTGCATCGATAGACCCGGAAATCAGTTATACCAACAGAGGGTGTAGGTAGACAGGTAGGCAGCCGATTTGTCTTGGAATTTTACTAAATTATAGCCCTGTCAATTGCGGCTTGATTTGATAGGCCTCATCCAATTTCTTCATTCCCACGGACATGAAATAATTTCTTCATTGCCCACGTTTGAATCGAACGACAGGTCGACAGGTAGTTCAGTAAAATTAGTCGGTTTCTCTATGGTTTTATATGGTATTGGAGGTGCTGAATTCGAATCTGAATTTTGCAAACAGAATTTCCTGGAGCATTCCGGGATATTAGCAAAAAACAGCGAAATTTTCGAATTTTTCTCGGTTTCTTGTCCGTAACTCGGAAATCATATATTATATCGAAAAGACCGCCCTATGAAAAGTTGAAGTAGATAACATTTCCTAGATAAAATTGTTCTTGCTTATGAATGTAGGGCTGAAGGGTGCGGAGATAGAGCCAGTTTAAAATTGACCAAATTTGGGTACTTTTCATTCTCGTCGGGTTTCGCAGATAATTCATATTTTACTTATTACTCAGGGATATAGCATCATGCACATATTAGAAGAGCATCACATTTTCTATCGAGCTCATGTAAATTTCGTCATTATGAAAAAAGATGAACGGCTGTTAGAGCTCTAGGACTTGGAGCCACTTTTAGTCGAAGTTGCCACACTCATGTTCATCCTTTCAACTTATATGATTTGGATCATATGAACCTATATTCATTAAAGCTCTAAAACGTATAAATAGGTCATTCTTTGTTTTTGTATTCTGTGGGGTGGGGGACAAAAAAAAATTGAAATTCTGTACGCTGGAATTATAGTTGTTATAAGTGCGATACAATAATTCCAAATGCTATAGGGTATTCTTTGAACATTTTGATAGCAAACTGATAAACTATTCAAACTATCAAAATTACCTATTTTGTGATGAATAAGTATCAGAATCAATTCTCGCTCATGTGGGTGTTCCAAGGCGTCAAGGAAATGAGCACAGAGCTCAGAAAATGAGAATGGAGTGAAAAATCCTACTACTGTTGAGCAACTACAGGTAAACTAGAAGGAAAGAGTTCTTCAACAATTGGTAAGCTCAGTAAATCTCATCAAACAAGAGCCAAAGCTTAACTCTTCCTTTGAGTATTCACACTTATATAATCAAGGACTCTTCTACCTATATTTTCTTCAAATGTCTGACATTACTGATATTCGTTGCTAGGAAACTTGATTTTTCTACTCCGTTAACGAAAAACAAGAGGCAGGTAAGAAAAACAATATTCTTCCTAGTTGATGTGAATATACCTACTTAAGTACAGTGACAAGTCGAGTCATGAGTTACATGCTGACAGGGGTGAGAATTCACATGGCTAGGACTCTTCCACATCAGGCTATAGTTCGTTTCTTTGAAGAATGCGTAGATTTGGAATTATCTGCGAAAACCGACGAAAAACGCAATTTTTTGGAAAGTACGCAAATTTCGTAAATTTTCAACTGGCTCTATCTCCGCACTCGTTAGTCCTACATTCATGAGCAATGACAATTTTATTTAGGAAATTGTATCTACTTCAACTTTCTATAGGGCGGTCTTTTCGATATAACGTATAATTTCTGAGTTACGGGCAAAAAACCTAAAAAAGTCCGAAAATTTTGCTGTTTTTTGCGAAAATCTCGGAACGCTGCAGGAAATTTTGTTTGCAAAATTCACAGTAGATTTCAGCACCTCCAAAAACATATGAAACCACAGAGAAACCGACTACTTGATTTTTTTCCAAGTGAAAATACCATTTGATTGGACTAAGGTAACTCATTCGTAAATAATTTCGTATACGAGATACCTATTATACAGAAGGTCAAGCCGAATTTTTACCTGGTCAAGTGGCCAGTTTGTCAAAGTCGTTGGTCCAGTGATCTCTTGTTTTGACGCCAACGAACGTTCGTTTTGTCATAAACAAAAACAGCACGGAAAGGACACGGTGTGACTATTTCGTAGGGTGACCTTTGTAAGAGCGAGAGTCGAAAAAGTTGGGACCAATAAACACCGAACTTGGTTAAGTAGGAAATGTCATTAAATTTGATCAAATCTGAGACATAATGGGTCTTCCTTAGTCGGGTGATTATACTAAACGAATAACGAAAGAGGAAACGACATGTTTGTGTCCCATGTGGCACCCTATTATATTTTTATCGAAAGATCACCTCACTATTCTACATTCATGTACACGTCAAACTACTTTGTATCTCTAGTAAAAAAAAAATGAGTAAGTACAGATAATACATACACTGAGAAAACATAGTTAACTAAATCGCTTAGTTGGAATTTCTTTATAACCGATAATGAAAAATATTGAGATTTTTATTAATAACAACAAAACTTTCCTACAGAAAAGCGTGTTTTTTTTCACCTCATTATTTATCATTGATAATAATATATGCCATTTCACTTCTCAGTTGTAAAATGAATCATACTATTGCAGATTTATTCATTGATTTGCTTCCGCTCCCCACCGCGATGAATAATTGTAGTACCCTGTCTCTAGACGCTAGTTAACAACAATGAAGTTCCATCATGGTTCTGATTGGTCTGTACTAATATATTCGAATAGCCCGCACATAAGTGTGAGCCAATCTGCAACTGTCAAGTGTCAAGTCCTATTTTATGGTTATGGTTACTCATGATGGCATTCACTGTTGAGAATGAAAAACAGTGAATTCTCATTTTTTCTTGTATTTGTAGAATTAAAGTAAGGTAATTAAAACTATGAGAACCATGTAAGGTGAGTCATTTGAATTTGCGTGTATTTCACAAATAGTAGTATTGTCGTGTGCTTTAGTAGAACCAGGGGCGGATCCAGGGGGGGGGCCATGGGGC